CAGTGAGGAGGCAGCGGGCAGCGGGAAAGCATGGTGATGTACATGTTGGACTTTCTAGTTGGGAAGACGCAGGGTTTTTCTGCGCTGAGAGAGATGCCAACATACTCTTCATGGGGTGTCCTGGCTATCCTGGGGGGTCCTGGCTATCCTGGCCTGTCCCTAAAGCCTCCCAATGCAGCCGGCCTCGTCGACCATAGTGTTCGTAGTGTTGCTGTGGTGTTTCATCCTTGTCATGCCCCAAATCAAGTAGACGATCAGAGATGCATGCCGCCGTCGTCGTCGTCGAGCTGCCGCATGCGCTCCTCCATGGCGCGCCGCAGCTGCTCGTCATCGAGGCGTCCGCCCCCCGAAGCCGAAGGGGCCGCCGTCTGCGTCGTGGCCGCGCGCACGCTGCCGGCCTCCGCAGGCGCTGCAGGGGAAGCAGAAGCAGCAGGGGGAGTGGAAGCAGCAGGAGCAGCACCGCCGTCAAAATGCATGACGCCCCCCCGGATCGTCCCCGTCTGAAACGTGCCGTCGCTCCACGCCGGATGCCGCGTCCCCGCCGCCACGGCGTCCTCCTCGAGCCTCGCGTCGCGCAGGCCGTTGGTCACGGGCGCGACGTCGTCGTCGGTCGGCACCAGCGACGGTCCCCGGGAGGGCCGGCTCGACGGCCTCAAACTCGCGGCCAGCTGCACCCCCTGTCCTCGACCTCGGCGCGGATGAGGGCGATGCGCTCGTCCATGCGCAGGATGACGGCCTCGTTCTCGCGGATGGCGTCGGCGCAGTCTGGGTCCGGGGCGCCGCCGGCGGGTTCGGTGCCGAGGGCGTAGGGCAGGAGCTCAATGTTGGAGGTGCGCAGGTGGGCGATGGAGTTGCGGATCTCGAGGACCTTGAGGTGGAGGGTGGGCAGGGAGAGGGGCGGCAGGGCGGCGGCGAAGCGGGCGGGGGAGATGGGGGATGTGTCTGCTGTTGTTGTTGGGCGGGACATGGTGCTGCGTGTGTGCTGTGTGCTGGAGGAGGCGAGATGCTTGTTGTCTGGATGCAGTGGGCAGGGAGGTGAGGTCAGTTCCTAAGCTTTCCATGTACCTACCTTAGGCAAGTAAGGAAGGGCCTTGCGAAGGACCGCCTGCCTGGAGATGGCGGGGTGCTCGTGGGGCTTCACCGAGTGATAAGATAAGTTCACCGGTACAGGCACCTCCTACCTGGGAGAACAGGATGGGGAATGCAATGCAATGAGGGTATGCGTCTGGCGAGGACATGCAGTATTGAGGGTTCACTAGATATCCGTTTCTCGACTTCTCTTTTTTTAACTAATATAACAACTAACTTGAACCCCTATTACTTATGCGATTTCTACTAGCTTTCTCAGCAATTCCTATTAATTCCTATTTCTAGTGACCATAGTAGGGCGTCCGATTAGTTCCGATCTGATTATTTACTTATTTCACCCTTACTATTATATCTTCACTATTACGGTACTATCTTATTAAAGAGGTACTATAACGCGTACGATAATAATACTACTATTACTAGATAACTAAGGGTTAATAACTATATTATTATCTCTATATAATTAATATATCTTTAAGGATATATATCCTTTATCGCTATTCGACCTAAGCCAATATATAAGACTATTAGAATCCTATCGATAGGATTTCATTATAGGTTTTATATTAATATCCCTATCTATAGCCCTATTAGGCGATCCTAGTAGCGTAGGCCTAAGTTATTAGTTATATATATATCCGAATAATTACCTTAGAGCGATATCTACGATATTATAGTAATTATAGACGACTATTAGGGTAATCTTACTAAACGGATCTAATATAGGTTTAGAAGTAGGAGTATTAGGATAATCGGGCCGATAGTCGACTAGGCCTTCCTATTATAATTAGGGATTATAGATATTAACTTCCTTAGTAATAGGCTAGTTTACTCCTACTTAGTCCGTTAACTCTTAGGCATTAATAAGACTTTCTAGGGGATCTCCTATTCCTAATCTAACTATCTATCCTATACTAATACGTCTATTATCTCCTAGTATATTTAATTCTATTAATAGAGGTCTAGAATCTTCCCGTTTATAAGACCACGGACTAAGTAACAACGGTGCTACTACTATAGAGGCCCCATTACTATAAACCCATTCCCTAGCGTTATCACCTTAGCTCCCTAGAACATCTTCTATTACCTATCAGAATTCCCCTTTCAGTCATTAAGGCTTAAGAGGTTCAAGCCCCCCCTATCAAGGTTCAAGCCCCCCCTATCAAGGTTCAAGTCCCTCCCATTAAGGCTCAAGTCCCTCCTATCAAGGCTTAAGTCCCGACTAGTTACAACGATAGACTATATTATTAGCAGCCCCTAGACCTCCAGCTATAGCAGGACTACCTACCTTTACTAACTATAGCACTTTCGATAGTAAGCAGTCTATAGCTAGATAGATTAATCGTCTAAGATACGAGTTTAATTATATTAGATAGTCACCCCCGGACCCTCGATAATACTTCGTAGTAGTAGACCGATTATATAATAGAATTACGGCTATATTCTTAGACTCTTACGTAGCTATAAAGAATACTTTAGATTATCCTAACCTAGGACCTATAGAAGCTCTTCTCGTAGAAACCTTATTAAAGGAGCGATTCCCCGCTATCGTCGCTAATATAATCGATAATAAGCCTATAACCCTAGAGTAATACCCTAGAGAAGCCCTTAATAGATACTACCTTAGGGCCTAGGCCTACCTAAGATATACTAGAGGTCGAGACTCTAGAGACCTAAGAGCTATACCTCTATCTATCTTAGAACGTAATTACCTATCCTAGGTAGTACGTTAATTTATATAAAGCTTATAGGACCTCGAGCTCTATTAGGAATCTATTAAGAAGTCTATTATATAGGTAGAAGGTCTAAGAGACGCTTATACCCTTATCCGATAAGCTAAATAGATTATTAAAGATCGAAAACTTATTATAAAGGCCTAAGCGGAGTAGATTAAGATTAGCCTTATCGAATAAATAGTACGAGCTTAGTAAGGTAAGAGTATAGAGAGAGCTTTAGCTAAGTTCTACGGCCTCTTATTACTAGATAACTAGTAAGATAGTAATACTATATTATTAATAACTACTATATTTACTAGAA